ACCCCCTTCCATACGCACATATCTCCCTCCCCCCCCTCCCCCACCTTTATTGGTAAGATTTGGATTAAAAAGAGTTTTACAGTGCTCGCAACTGCATATGTCATAATACGTGCTGTCAACATGAGCCAGTTCTCGGACTTAAAAAACCCTATGGACACCAATATATATATACATCAAAGTTCTAGGTTTGGTGTGTACAATTTATTATTATACGCGCTGATAAAAGACGTGTTTGACTTGAAGAAAGGGGCATCAGTTTAAAATCGACAAATTTGATGTGTGTCTATTTTTGGCTGACATTCTCCATTCGCGGATTGCAAGAAGTACCTCATGGTCAGGTCAGTGCAGTGGACACAAGTATATTTGTATTCATGTTAGTTCACAGCACAGCCTGGCATTATGCTTCGCAAAGTAAGAATCTAGTTTTGTTTTTCTAACAGTTTTGCAGCATTTGCAACATAATAATATACGGCCATATAAGTGGCAAAGATTAGAAGTGTTAATTAAGAGAGTAACAAACACAGAAAAAAAAGGAGGAGAGATAATCAGGACGTTGGGTTTTTTTTTATAGGAAAGAAGGAGAAAAACCACACCAGAGCACCCACCAACCACCCACAAGTACGAGGAGAAATGGTACTCTTTCAAGTGACAGTGCAGCAATAGTTTGTCCACACCCACTTTTCAACAGCAAGAAATTATCCAAATCCACAATGTAACAGTACGATCGTCGGCGACTTTTTTTTTTTTTTTTTAAATTCGGAATTCTGAAAATTTTCAGAGAATCCCCATCCCAGATACCTGAACACAGTTGCCAGATGGGCCAGCAGGGTCAGCATGGCCACGGCCCTCATCATACCCGTGTCGCCAAGCAGACGTCGCAGGTGGTACCCTCTGTGCTCCCAAACACACACCTGTGAAGAACACGAAGAAACATGAGACAAACGTGTCATGATGCGACGGAATCATCAGGCTCTCGTCAATTTGTGCGAATGTGTACATAGTTATTGGCATCATCTGATCTTAGAGCTTCTTGTTCATTTTCCTGGCTTTAGGTGAGAAATATACCCATTTATCTCGAATACAAGTCGAGATATTTGCGAATGAAGGAGGTGTGGTCACCTGGTTTCAGAGATTCAATTAGTGAGAAAATGGCCACCAAAGATGTCCTTAGCTTGAGAGTCCGTTGAAACTGAAAATTTACATGTTTTGTGTCTTCAATCAACGTTTTTCAGTAAAATCCACACAAAAATGTGTTGTTTAAAGGGTTTGAAAGGTGTTGAGCCAAAAAACAAAAATTCCATAGAAATGAATAAATCTGCCGAAAAATGGCAGTTTCTTGACTATGATTATTTTGACGAGCGCTCAATTTCACTGCGCTGCCTCAGAAATGTTAAATCCAAGGGTTGTCCTACCTATTTAACTCGAAATAAATCCCATTAGTTTAAAATCTACAAATTTGATGTGTCTATATTCGGCTAACATCTCCATTTGTGGATTGCGAGAGTTATCTCCCCGTTTTGTCAGCAGGCCTCACATATCTAAAAAATACATTAATACAAAGGGGGAGGTGGGAAGAGATCATTTGGACAGGTGATTGTCTTGGACAGGTGATTGTCTTGGACAGGTGATTGTCTTGGACAGGACATTGTCTTGGACAGGTGATTGTCTAGGACAGGTGATTGTCTTGGACAGGTGATTGTCTTGGACGGGTGTCGTCTTTCAAACAGGTTCAACAGTATAAAAGCAGACTGACTCACACACGGCTTCACAAAGGGTCCACAGTACATGAGGATGGCCGGTCCCCAAAACCACGGGCTGGAGAAATCTACTGCCACGATGTCAGGCATCCTCAACTGCAGAAAAAACCCCCAAACATTTTTACATTTCACAGCACAAGATCTAATAATAATACTGCATTTACATAGCGCATACTCACACCCTTATCTCTTGATCATTTTTCAATTATGTGGCACAAAATCTAATAATTGCATTTACATAGCGCATATCCACACCTTTTTATCTCAAGATCATTAAAAAATTTTACAGCACAAAATCTAATAATAATACTGCACATACTCACACCCTTATCTCAAGATAATTTTTAAACTATACAGTACAAAATGAAATAATAATAATACTGCATTTACATAGCGCATACCCACACCCTTATCTCTTGATCATTTTTAAATTATGCGGCACAAAATCTAATAATTGCATTTACATAGCGCATACTCACACCCTTATCTCTTGATCATTTTTCAATTATGCGGCACAAAATCTAATAATTGCATTTACATAGCGCATATCCACACCTTTTTATCTCAAGATCATTAAAAAATTTTACAGCACAAAATCTAATAATAATACTGCACATACTCACACCCTTATCTCAAGATAATTTTTAAACTATACAGTACAAAATGAAATAATAATAATACTGCATTTACATAGCGCATACCCACACCCTTATCTCTTGATCATTTTTAAATTATGCGGCACAAAATCTAATAAATGCATTTACATAGCGCATATCCACACCTTTTTATCTCAAGATCATTAAAAAATTTTACAGCACAAAATCTAATAATAATACTGCACATACTCACACCCTTATCTTAAGATCATTTTTAAACTATACTTCTATACAGTACAAAATGAAATAATAATATTACTGCATTTACATAGCGCATACTCACACCCTTGTCTCAAGATCATTTTTACATTTTGCAGCACAAAATCTAATAATTGCATTTACATAGCGCATACCCACACCCTTATCTCAAGATCATAAAAAAATTTTACAGCACAAAATCTAATAATAATATTGCATTTACATAGCACATACCCACACTCTTATCGCTAGATCAGTTTTACATTACAGCACAAAATCTAATAATAATATTGCATTTACATAGCACATACCCACACTCTTATCTCTTGACCATTTTTACATTTTACAGCACAAAATCTAATAATAATATTGCATTTACATAGCACATACCCACACTCTTATCTCTTGACCCTTTTTACATTTTACAGCACAAAATCTAATAATAATATTGCATTTACATAGCACATTCCCACACTCTTATCTCTAGATCAAGCTTTAAGCGCTTTACTTTACTGCAACAACTATTATTACCCCAGCAGACACAAGAACACTCGGAAAAATTATACGCTTCCTAGAAAGCATACAGCGCACGCTGCAAATTACACGCTGCAAATTACATGCACTCAAACACTAACAAACTGGTATTATCTCTATATCAGCTGGTTAATCTATACATTTCGGACACTGTTATATTGAGAACACTAATCAACACGACAAAAGAGCCTCACTGCTACCCCACAGACACCCGTCATCTCAGTGCTGAAGGGAGCATTCATCCAAATCATTATTATAACCATAAGACAGTTACAATTTAGTAGAAGTTTTACGGCGCTCGTAACTGCATAAGGTCATATGAGCGCCGGAAGATTATAGCTGTTACAAGACAGTAACAAACATAAAAAAGAAGAAGGGGAGATAATGACGACAGATGTTTGACAGGAAAAAAGAAGCAAACCACACCAGAGCACCCGCCAACCACCCACAGAGAGTCACATGAAAGAAGGATTAAAATAACACCAACCATACTGAAATTGACAGGCCCATCGCTATCGCAACAGCCCATCACTAGAGCTACGACGATCACACACGCCGCTTCAGCCAGGAAATGACGGTGGCGGTGCTGAGACCCGCTGGTAACTTGCCGCCCACAAAAACGTCTTGGCAAGAAGAAGAGATACTCCCCAGCGAAAGTCCGAGGAAACCATGCTCTGGACCGGAACAATAACGATGTAACAGAACGGACGGAAACTGAAACACAAAGAACACAACACATGAACCACAACATACTGTATATCATCGCGGCGTGATGCAACTTTTTACCTAAAGAAAACTCAGGGCTCCACGGTTGCCCTGTCTGTGTGTCTTATCTATCTCTATGAGAGGCAAAGGCGAGAGCAGTGACCATATTCTTGAAGCAGTGGGTGAAATCACAGAGCAGTATTTGTGAGACTTTTCATTTTATTACACAGATGATACAACTGAGATATAATGAGTGATGATACGATCAGAAATCTTTTTAACGGACACAAATGAGTTTTGACGATTTCACCAATCTTTCCACAACGCTTTAATTTCTATAAACAAATGAAGTATCAGTACTATATATAATTCTTTTACTTTTTGGCTTCCTGAAAATAAAATGGGTATGAAAATGTGTCAAAGAGCCGGTGGAATCAGGCCCACGTCAATTTTAGGGCATGTCGAGTTTTTCATATCATTTTAAAGCTTTTGTTTGTTTTGCTTTTGATGAACCCCCCCCCCCTGTCTTAAAAAGAATTCAAGATTATATCTGCGACTTAAGGAGATGGGGGTCACCTGGTTTCTCAAGTAAAGTAAGTGAGAAAATGAATGGCATGAAAATGTACATTTTAAAAAATTCTTACATCAACATCTTTCGGTAAAATACACACAGAAATTATATGTTTTTAAATTAACACAAAAGCTGTTAAGCTGTTAAAAGATTTTTCTTTTTTTTAAATGCCTCGCGTTCTCAGGAAAATGCTTATTTCTTAGAGATCTCATCATTTTGATGAGCGCCAGATTTTATCATAAATGCCTAACAAATGTTGGTGCATCTTATCTAAGTGACTCTATGAGATTACAAAAATTTGGGCTCTCAAGTCTACCTCTCTGTGTTGTATCAGCACATAGATCTATATATGCATCTTACGCAATGATATATCAGTAACAACCTGAAAACTCAATGAAAGAAACGAAGCAGAACAATATTTTCCGAAACAAACAGTTTGTAATGAACAGTAAATCTCAATCTGAATGCGTTATTAAATGACTGCAGTCTGACTGTCGAAGGTGACCAACCACCATAGTCGAGTAGATAAGTTACTCTTCTTAAACAGGTGACCCTCTTGTCTTGCCTTTAAAACACTTTTCCTTTTGCATTCTTGAGGCAACCTACCCAGGAAGTTTGAATAATGCTGTTGTTGCTCAGTGGACCTTGTCATGGTAAGTCCACTGAGCAAACTATATATATACAAGGGTTAGGGTTAGGATAAGGGTATGGGTTAGGGTTATTATAATGGTTTGGGTTAAGGATAGGGGTTGGGTTAAGTTAGGGTACACCGCATAAAATATCCCCTCTTTTGTGTGTTGTTGGTCGGCCAGCCCTCTGCGGAACTCTTTCTGTGAATTATCGAAAGTCTCATTCATATTTAAATGAAATCACCAATTTTCCAGCTTTGACAGGTCATTATAACTAAAAAAGTACAACAACAGCATTATTTCAACGATTCAGTCTATTTTTTGAACAGCTCATAATATGCATGCATTTCAGGCACCACTTGTTACTCTCTTTTCATTACTTGCTCAGTGCCAGAGTAATTATCTACACAAAACCTCATGTTTTATTTAACGAACACTCAGATTCAAGGGGAGCTGATTTTGGGTCAGGCCCGGCGACCTCATTAAATCCGAGTTCCACTAACTTGAAAAGAATAACAGCAATACTGCAGGAAAATTCAGAAAAAATCATAAAATGTAACTGTTCTATCTATGCTATAGCCTATAGTTATAGACTAGATCTAGATCTAGATCCTAACCAATCAATAATATTTTTAACACTTGACAACAAAAAGTAAACTAACGACCAACAATGAATTACTGCAAACTGCCATTACACAAACCTTTTCCTTTTTTATCCTTGGCTAAACTAAACAGAAAGCACTTTTTCTGTTTTCAGAGCTCAGAATTCCCTGAAACCATGGAAAGAAACAAATCTGCATGAAACAACTTTCATTACTTTTCCTTCCACTTCGTTGGAGGAGACAGAGGAGAGGATCAGGGAAAAGTGGATTGTTTTTCTGTTGGCGGTCATTATTCGGACTTGAGTCCGTATAATATAACATTTTTTTCATATTCGGACTAGATCTAGATCTAGATCTAGATCTAGATCTAGATTAGATCTATATCATAGTATATCTAGATCTAGATCTAGATTAGTCCGAATAAAAAAATTTCATATTCGGACTTGAGTCTGAATAAGAAAAATTTTTATTCGGACACACGGGTCCGGAAAAAAGGAAGTGTCTTCGTTCTAGATCTATACTTCTATAGATCTAACGTTTAGATTTAGTGCTTCCAATTTTCCACCATTTTTTAGTTTCCCACACACCTTGTCTGCCGATCCGATGCCCGCTGCCTCATTGATACGCCCCCCCCCCCTCTCTCTCTCTTTCTTTCTCTCTCATGGCCCAAAGACAAAATTGCACGCTTTCAACACAAGAGCGCTGGAACGTTTGTTCACGGTGAATACTAAATCTACACTGGTGGGCCTATCAATCACGGTGGAAGGCACACCGGGTGAGAATAGAAAAGCCAACTCGCCTGCGCCTCACCCGCGGTGAAAATAGAGGCGGTCTTGCCTTAGAAAAGTGTCTCCAAGAGTTGAAATAAAAGTGAAAGGACAGCAAGGAGAAAAGTAGATCTAAAGTTTTGGTAGATCTAGAATCTAAGACTTTTACAACACTTGCAACATTCTTCCTACCGTCGTCTGCACTTTACTCTGCACTGGATTTTGTTTTGAGTTTTGATGAATTGAACAGTGTTCCCGTTCCAGTACCAGCAGTAGAGAAATCTATGTGAACTAGTGATGGGCCGATACCACAATTTAGGTATCGATGTCGATACCTAGTACTTTTTCAAGGTATGGACAATGATAATACATAACAAGATGGGCCACTTCTCTCTTTGAGCCAATTAAAAAAGTGTCCTCAAAATTTGGTGGCGCCCTCTTCACAAAAGCGCACTCTTTGCGAACAGAGTTACCCTACTTGAGTTTTAAAAAATCAAAGTGAAACTAGCAAGTTTTGGGATAAATTTAGGAAGAACGCTTTTTAAAAATGGTTACGCTGACAAAAAAGCTCTTCCGGAGGAAAGGGTGATGGTTTTCTTCGTTTAATTTGACTTTAGAATGAAAGGCGAGAGGTCATTAAAATATAAAAAAAACCTAAAACTACGCACTGAACGAACCCGAACTGCTGATGAACAGCAGTCGACCTGCGCAAGCAAGGAGGTGCTATTCCTATTCTTCTTCTGGAAAAACGAAAGAGAGCTTCAAAACAGACTGCAGCGCCATCTGAAGCAAAGAGCATACTTCCTGCGGACACTTTTTTGACTGAGTGGCCCATCTTGTTATGTACTATCATTGGTATGGATACCGATATCTCGATACCTAATGTGTCTTGGGTAGTAATACTAAGGTATCAAATTAGGTCAGGAGATTGAAGACTAGGATGTGTTATAGAAAAATAGCTGAAAAACTCCCTCTCTTTTTCTATTTGTGCAATGATATGGGACATAATCCATAATCCACCACAGTTGCTTGTCCATTATATTATCAGTTGTTTCCCTTGCATTGTAAACACTCCATACGCAGTTCTGACATTGTCTCGAGATTCAGGGCTTCTGGGAACATTGGGTCTGGGGTGTATATAAAGCTGTGTCTGTGCCTCTAGTTTTTTTTGTGTTTTTTTTTGGGGGGGGGGGGGGGTCATTTTGACTGGTGAAGTGAACCTTGCTACAGTTTGTCTGTCCCTTTCTCTGTCTCTGTCTCTGTCTCTGTCTCTGTTCTCTCTCTCTCTCTCTCTCTCTCTCTCTCTCTCTCTCTCTCTCTCTCTCTCTCTCTCTCTCTCTCTCTCTCTCTCTCTCTCTCTCTCTTTCTCTCTTTCAAGGAAGACTTGAAAACTGACCAACTTTAAGAGTTTTTCAAAAGATTTATTTCTTAACTACGGGCGCTCCATCATAAATTGGAAAAAGTAATGTTATAATTCATACAAAGTAACACTCAAACAAGTGTTTGGTATAGATCTTTCTTACCATAAGATCAGGGGTGTGACTGAAAGACAGCAGTAAGAAGGAGCCAGGGAGTAGCAATAGAAAAGATGTAGAAAGAGTCTGGAACTCAGAGAAGGGGGCAAAGGAGGTGAGGGGGTGAGGGCAGAAAGTGAATGCGAAAGTAGACGACAGAACACTGCTAGAGAGCAGGAAAAGAGGTGAAAAGAGACTATAATATAGAGAATAAAAATGTCTCTCGCTAGCTATCTGTATTCGAACCCGGGACCTGTTGAATGAGAGGCGAACACCTTAACCTCCAGACCACGAGAGTCCGTTCAATCTCCGAGTGCGGAGAATTTTCATAGAGTATCTCGGGTATATCTGCTGCTGGAGTGGTGTATCCTTCTCAGCCCGGGTTGACCCTGACAGGCAAGGTCCAAAGTCTTCCTCTTAAATTATCGAAATAGAGTCGATTGGGACGTCAAAAGACCCCATCATCATCATCATCATCATCATCATCATCATCATCATCATCATCATCATCAAGAGCCAGATCTGCGACAGATATGGGGGCACGCAGTTCTCCACTCGTCCCTTTGCTTGGATGAGCTAAAAAAAAAAATAGTTGCATTACCCTGATTTTTCGCCACCATCCATCTGTTTTGATCCATGAGTGTTCTACAGTATTTAAAAAAAATCCCTCCCCCCCCAAAAAAAAAAATCAAACAAACAAACAAACAAACAAAAAACCACCCAAAAATCCTAACCAAAAAACCACAGAACAAAAACGAACACATAATCTTTCAATAATGTTGGCAATCGCTAACATGATATTATAAGTAACCCATGCGTTGTTGGCAAGATAACATTAAAAGATTTGCATTAAGATTTCAAAAGCTTATTACATTTTATATAAACAAAATAGCCCTCAGTTTAAAGACTGCTACAATGTATAAATATATAACATCTATAATAAAATATAAACATACATCGAAAAAAAACCCAACTATTACGAACACACTGCGATGAAATCAAGAGCTTGTCACAATTATGAAATCGAGCAGACTGACAAGATTCCGAATGTTGGGTAATTTTCATTGATTTTTAAAATATGGGGGTTTTTTTCTTCCCTTAACACCTTTTATGCTAATTTAACCCACATTTCTGTGTTAAATTTTTTTGTAAAAAAACACTAAAAAAAAACCCCCATTGATCAAAGGTAGCACAAATGTCCGTTTCTGAGGACATTCAAGCTTTGGAAATCACCAAACTTTAGCGGCCTCTTAATCGTACATTTGACCTCTGACACGAAGCGACCCCACCTCCTTCAATCACAAATATATCTCAACTTTTATTCAAGATATTATTTAATGGCTTTCATAACAAATATAAATCAAAATCAAGGCAAATAAATAGGCTTTAGGATGAAACCAACATCTTCACATGTTAAAAATTTGACAAGCGTCTGATTCCTAAGTGTTTTACGGCGTTCGCAACTGCGTAAGGTCATATGAGCGCAGGGGACACATTAAACATAATTTATACTTGGCAGGAAATTTAGAATTTTGCCCGAGTGGCGGCCGAAGCCTACTCTTATCGATTTTAGACCACCGAGGGATCTTTAAAGTTCGAAACTTGAACAAAATCCGAGATTGTTCACCCTTTTCCGAGAAGGCTAAGTGTAGATCTTTCCTACCATAAGATCAAGGGTGTGGCTGAAAGACAGCAGTAAGAAGGAGCCAAGCATTAGCAGTAGAAAAGCTGCAGAAAGAGTCAGTCAGGAGCCCAGAGGAGGGGGCAAAGAAGGTGTTGGGGGGG